GCTGTAATTCGCCTTTTAGATTCTTCAATATCAGAAGGTTGTGTTTTATTAACAACGGATTTAAGATGCTCCAAAGAAAGGAATCTAAGGGTGTTAAATCCGGTGATCTCGGTGGCCATTCAACTACTTCCCTTCTGCCAACTCATGTATCCGGAAATCTCTCGTTTAATCACTGTGGGACGGGAAGAAAATAATAAGGTGGAACACCAACCTGCTGAAAATGTAACAGATCCTCCTGCAAAAGTTCATTACCTTCTGCATCCATTTGAGTTTCTAGCTCATGAGTTACAAGAGGATCGATAGTCTCTCCTAGCATTTCGAGATACAGATTTCCAGTCAAATTTTTCTTTCAGAAATAATGGACCAATAATGGCATTTCCAAGACTACCAGCCTTAACATTAACAGAGTCTAAATATACCAAGCTGTTCACGATTTTCTTTTTTTATATTAAATTTTGTAAGTCCGGCAATAACGCCAACGACACTATGTTGGTACGTAGTGATGCTAGGGCGACGAGACAGAATTAATTTGAATATCGAGTGTAATACAGTGTAGTTTAGTTATACATTCGTTTTATTCAATCGAAATTCTCAATTAAATCAGCTCAGATTATACAGTCCACTCTATTGAGGAGTACAACACAAGTACAGAAACCTTCATGGTCCTTCGAGCCGGATACAAGCCATGATATTCGTCTAAGATACCACTTTCAATTTTTCAAACAATGGAGAATCCTTGCAGATTTGATTCGAAATTACAATATGATGAGAATTATTTTGTCTCTCATGATTTATTTGAGGCGATTTTTCAGAAAGAACTATGGAAATATCAGGAATAGAAAGTTACTACCTAGTCCTTTTCGTTGGTGAATTGTTGGAAATAATAGTCAATTCATTCAACAAATGCTGTTCTTGTTTCAATATTATTCATAGTGAAAAATGTTTGTTGAAGGTGGAAATCAAATTTTAATCTGTGCCACTGAAAGTTGAGAGACGTTCCAAAATAATAACTTCAAAACTGTGAATACGTGAAAAACTCTCTTGAACCAAAATACATGAAATTTACGTTCAATGAGCACCAACTATTCTATTCTGGTTACTTGAACAGTATTTTCAGAATGTAAAATCTGTTGAAAGAAATGATTAGCATATTTCTATATCTTACAGTAGAAACGCGTGAATAGAATGAGAAATAATATTCTTTAGAACGAGAAACGTATCAAATAAATGAAGTTGTTGTGAGACCTACCTTAGACAAAATTCCCCGGATGATTTTATCAAGCTCGTCGCCCCCTTCCGTCACAAACTTCTCTCCATGCTCTCGGAACTTCTCCTGGATTGCTAATTTTAGTTCCTCCTTCACCGCCTCAGCCATCTTCTCCGCTTCGGGATCTATCACGTTATGGAAACCTCTGGAGATGATTGGAGGATGGTTGGAGTGGGTCGTGACCCAAATAACGACGGTGTCGACATCTTCGGAATTCGAAACCCCCAGCAGCCTCATGAACAACTCCTTGATGGCTCCCGACCTCAGAGTGGTTATGGTGTAGACGTTCTTTCGTTTTTCGTCGTCGTCGAAGTTGGATCTGAGCGATATAGTCGGTTGAACTGGAAGTGTAGTCTCTTGTGGCTCTCCGACCACATTGTTAGCGTCCACTTCATTCATTTCAGATCCATTGAGAATTACCACTTTGGAACACCATTTTTCGCAAAGGGGACAATTGGAAAGTGCATTGCATCTGTTTCGTTCCTGACAAGTTGCGCATGCTTTCAAATAAAATTTGTTTTTGTTTTGCAGATCACTTCTTTCAACGGGTTGAGGGACTTTTGCTCCAACGATTTCCTCTCTTGGTTGCAGAAATGCACCAACTCTATTACTGGAATCAAAAAGGGTTTCTGAACAAGTATTATGAAGGGAAAATATTTCATTTTTTGTTTGTTGATTTGTGTGATGGACAAACACGAAAATTACAAAACGGTCTTCAACATTTCTTTCTGTGAAAATATGTTTTTCAGTTAACCAGCTTTCGCCAACCTGCGAACGACAACTCTTAAAAGTCGAAACTTGTGCGAACTAAGGATTAACGAGATCTTACCTTTTAACGTGTTATTCCTAACACATGTATAAAGTTATTGAAAAGAGTATATTTTCGGAAGAGTTCCATTTTTGGGAAACAAAGGTTTTGGCTTTCTACTTATCCATTTCCATACACCGAATGTGGGAATCTTCCAAAGAAAGGAAGGACGCAGTCAATTTAAAAAAAAATCAACTCTATACGTAGATCATGTAAATAAGTAACTTTCAGACATCGGATGTACACCAATGAGGACAACAGTGTTCCATGTAAGTGAAATTTTACCGCTTTCATTTACTATATTGTGTAGCAAACCTGTGAATGATATTTGGCTCAACTCCACAACGAATGTTTGGAATACAAACTGAATAGAGAAAAATTGTTTTTGTATAATTTAGTGTTCATATAAAAGTGTTTGTTTCGAAATTATTTTTTTTACCAGGCCACCGTCTGAAAGTTACTTCTTTGCATGATCTACACATCTTCGTATAGAGTTACCTTTTTTGAAATTTATTGCTTCCTTCCTTTCTTTGAACGATTCACACATTTTTTGTATAAAGAAGGCCGAAACCTTTCTTTCCTATGAAGCTGTATTATCAGCAAGTAACATGGGTCGTATCTTATTTAAAAAAAATTGGACTCCCATAAGAAAATTGTATTGATAATACTGAAGTTAACAAACATTAGGAGGGTCCTGTGAAAAACGATGACTCTGAGAAAAACTGAATTTTAGGTTTCCAGTCTACAGAAGTCTTTCTGGTCTTGTTTAATTCGTTTCAGGAATCGGACAAGAACAAACTGATAAGAACAATCACAGAAAGCAATGAATGGGAGGTTGAACCTTCAAAGGCGCTCAAGAGTCTAATCATTCTTCAGCTATGCAACGTATTTTCATACATGATTTTTAGTGGTACCCAATGATTTCTCTTGAGTCATAAGGCATGTTGTTTCTTTATATTACAAGCCAATAGATATCACTGAAAACCCAATTTCGATTGGAAGAACAACTCAGTAGCACTTGTGCTAACTGAGTTGAACTTCGCCTTTTGTTATATCAGCAACTAGCTCTATAATTTATCTAAATATTTGTATGTAACTACAGCTGGGAAACAATAAAGACGATTATTATTTTTTTTCAAATTTTTTCACCGTAGTTGGCACTGGTCAGGCCCTATCCCCCGAAGCTCTGATACATTCGGGAGAGCGCGCCAGCATAATCAACCAATGACCAGTCCCCACACCGTGGAGTGATCATTGATCATTGGGTCCAAGAATCATGTGCCCTGAGCAAGCGCAGTGAGCTAAGAATGACATTCTTCTGTATATGTCCGGCTAAGATTTCTGCCTTAGTGCGACAAGCCGGTGTGATTTTAAGACTCGAGAGTGGAGAAGACATCATTCTGGATAGAGTATGCGGAGTTCGAAAAGAAAATCTCGATATTTTATTCGTTTTTCCTCCTCTTTTTTGGAAATATTTGTCTAACCAGGAGCTGAAAACTCCTGGTGGTAAAAGCACTGCATCAGGCTTATTACCTTGTATGAGCCTGAGGGAACGAATAGTTCCAATAAATTCGGCACTTCTCGTTTAACACAACGGATTCAATATCCCCCGGAACGTAGGGCAACACCGGTATCTCGTCAATACCGTAAGAGTGCCGTAGATGGTAATATAGCACTTATAGGGCCGCGTTATGTCGATGGATATAGGCCGAGACCCCAAATGCTGGACATGCTGATAGCAAGTGCATTAGGATCTCGGGCGCCTCGTGGCAGGCCCTGCACCTTGTGTCAGGAACCTCTATACCCATCACGCAATTGCGGTAGACTAAGATTTTGAAGACACCATCCTAACAAGCCATGATGAACCCCTCAGTTTCCGACTTCAGCCCACTCGACCTGAGAAAAGCGAAAGTCAGGCGCTTTGATAAGCCAACGTCTCCAATGTTATTGAAGAAGATCCCATGCATTGGCTAATCCTTGTGTTTCCGCAGAAGTGAGGTGATCTCTGCGGCTTTCACCTGAACTTTTTGCTGAACGGGTTCCAACTCGGTGACAGAGTTGTGGTCACCTCGTATAGTATCAAAAACTATACCGAGTTCATCAGCTGCTAGGGCAGCTGCCTTCAATTCCTGCTATCTCATGGTCACGGACCATGCAGAGAAGGGGATCCGAACTCCTGACGACTTTACAGGCTGTATCCAGTACCATTCTGTCATGTAGACACTCCAAACTCAAAAGTCCACGGCCTTCTTGTTGTCGGGGAAAGTATAACTGTTGAACGGACGATTTCGGATGCAAACTCCTATAGAGATGCATCATTTTTCGGGTCTTTACGTCGAGTTGATACAGTTCCTCTCGAGTCCACTTCACTACTCCAAACGAGTAGAGTAAGATTGGAACGGCAAGCATATTTGTTGCAGCAACTTTGTTTTCCCCGACAGTTCCGATGACCAGATCTGTCGAAGTTTGTGCTGATACTTGCCGGGGAGAGAGTTCTTCACTGCTGTTACCTCTTGTGAGTGGCTTTGTTCCACCCCGAGGTAAGTATACGTCTCTCCGGCATCCAAATGGTGTAGGATGCTTCCATCTANTAAAGCGTCTTAAATCAAATTTATTGTAAATATTCTGTACCTATTATCATTCATAATTTTTGGAAATCAACTAACATATTACAACTCCATATTTCAAGAATGATTGTGATCGAATACTTCTAGGAACAAATTAAAGACCAGTTGTAATGACAACCGACGAGTTCTTTACGGAATTATCATAGTTGGCTAATGTTTAAGTCATCTATCATTGGCGAGCGGATTGTTAACGAAGCACAATACAACCTCAGTGACAGCAACATTAAATACTAAATTCAGAAACTGGGAAAACATTTCAACGGAGAAAGTCATTTCTAGATACCAAATCAACACTTACCCAGACGTTCTGATCCATCGATTGTTGATCCAATATTATCATCCTGGCTATTTGAACGATGATTATGTGGAAGAATCAGATGTCCTATGATTTTATGCCCTCTTTCACCGTCATGATGTTTTCGACCGAGAACGTTCATTCCATTATTGCTAGGTTCCATGTTAGTTGACCTTCCATTCTGAAGTACTCCGTCAACAAAGTTTCTTTGAGCTGGTAAGGCATTTTTTGTATTGATAATGTTAGCCTTGACGTTGTTGATGAATTCTCTNCGCCGTGGGGTAAGTGATCATAGAGTCCAAGAATCATGTGCCCTGAGCAAGCGCAGTGAGCTAAGAATGACATCCTTCTGTATCTGTCCGGCTAAGATTTCTGCCTTAGTGCGACAAGCCGGAGTGATTTCAAGATTCAAGAGTAGAGAATACATCATTCTGGATAGAGTATGCGGAGTTCGAAGAGAAAATCTCGATATTTTATTCGTTTTTCCTCCTCTTTTCTGAAAATATTTGTCTCACCAGGAGATGAAAACTCCACGACAAGTATCGTTTTGCTCTGGTGGTAAAAGCACTGCATCAGGCTTATTACCTTGTATAAGCCTGAGGGTGGGGAACGAATAGTTCCAATAAATTCGGCACTTCTCGTTCAACACAACGGATTCAATATCCCCCGGAACGTAGGGCAATACCGTAATACCGTCAATACCGTAAGAGTGCCGTAGATGGTAATATAGCACTCATAGGGCTGCGTTATGTCGATGGATATAGGCCGAGACCCCATATGCTGGACATGCTGATAGCAAGTGCATTAGGATCTCGGGCGCCTCGTGGCAGGCCCTGCACCTTGTGTCAGGAACCTCTATACCCATCACGCAATTGCGGTAGACTGAGATTTTGAAGACACCATCCTAACAAGCCATGATGAACCCCTCAGTTTCCGACTTCAGCCCACTCGACCTGAGAAAAGCCAAAGTCAGGCGCTTTGATAAGCCAAGGTCTCCAATGTTATTGAAGAAGATCCCATGCATTGGCTAATCCTTGTGTTTCCGCAGAAGTGAGGTGATCTCTGCAGCTTTCATCTGAGCTTTTTGCTGAACGGGTTCCAACTCGTTGACAGAGTTGTGGTCACCTCGTATAGTATCAAAAACTATACCGAGTTCATCAGCTGCTAGGGCAGCTGCCCTAAAGAGTAATGCTCCAATTCCAGCTCTCTCATGGTCACGGACCATGCAGAGAAGGGGATCCGAACTCCTGACGACTTTACAGGCTGTATCCAGTAGCATTCTGTTATGTAGACACTCCAAACTCAAAAGTCCACGGCCTTCCTGTTGTCGGGGAAAGTATAACTGTGGAACGGACGATTTCGAATGCAAACTCCTATAGAGATGCATCATTTTTCGGGTCTTTACGTCGAGTTGATACAGCTCCTCCCGAGTCAACTCCACTACCCACAACGAGTAGAGTAAGATTGGAACGGCAAGCATATTTGTTGCAGCAACTTTGTTTTCCCCGACAGTTCCGATGACCAGATCTGTCGAAGTTTGTGCTGATACTTGCCGGGGAGAGAGTTCTTCACTGCTGTTACCTCTTGTGAGTGGCTTTGTTCCACCCCGAGGTAAGTATACGTCTCTCCGGCATCCAAATGGTGTAGGATGCTTCCATCTACGAGCTGCATATCATCTCCGAAGTTCCCGCATCGTTCTTTTTTGAGATGGACCATTGCACATTTGTCTATCCCGAATTTCATACCAAAAGCATACGTGTATTCCTCTCAAGGAATGATGGAGATCTTTCTCTCTAGAGGGGTAAAGTTTAAGATCATTCATATAAAATAAATGGGTGACCTTGTGCCTCCGGTTTTCGGGGGTGCTACAGTTATACCCTCGAGTATTTCTGAGGGCAACGGATAATGACAATAGTGAGATGCAGAAGAGAAGGGGACTGAGGGAATCACCCTGAAATACACCCCTTCTGAAAGTGACCCACCCTGTTTGGACTCTTGCTTGACCAGATGTTATGGTGAAACGAGAACAACTGATACCAAAAGTGGTATCAGTTGTTCAATGCATCTCACTATTTGGTCGGGTACCGCAAGGCATCTGAGCAAATGCAAGATGAGCTCATGCGATATTGTATTAAATGCCTTACGGTAATCTATCCAGGTCATGTATCGAGTCCTGCGTTACACATCTATCGATGAGTAGGTTTTCTTTACATCCAGCGACTCCTCTCTTCGACCCTCTCTGCTCATATATCCGTTCGAACACTCGGTCAATAGCGGTGAGTATTCGTGTGTATAAGATGCTTGTACACAACTTATAACACGAATTAAAGCATGTTATTGGTCTGTAATTCTTAGGAATCGATAAAGCTCCGCTTTTGGGGATGAGAACGGTCTGCCCCTCTACAAACCAATCCGAAATCGGCTGCTCTCCATCCAGACATGATTTGAAAACTCTGGCCAGATGGCGTTCTTGGAAATAGAAAATATAGAACCTACCATTTATGTATTCATAAACTACCTCATCTGTCGTCCAGAATTATTTTCTCAATAGAATTTTCATGGACTATGCTTCTATTCAAAAAAATAATCAATAATTCAACTGAATTTTCAATGCCTTTCTTCTTCAACTTATTCAATCAATAGTGTCGTAAAATAAATTTGAATGAGGTATAATCTTTCTGGAAGCTCTGATTCAACTGCTAGTTATTTTTTTCACTATAAAAGTTTACTGTAACACATTCAATGCGGCTATTCAGATTGATTGGATATCAATTTTGGTAAAATAAACGCGTTAGTTGCCTTATATACATTATAAGTACCTTCTAAATCATACAATTGGAATCAATATCTGAGAAATAATCCCAAAATTAAAAATTTCGCAAGAGAAAATGCATTCAAGCGGCCTGACAAATCGATGTAACAAGCGTGATGAAGAAAAGTTGCAACTACATTTTTACGTAGTGAAAAATTTTGAAAGTAAAGGTTGAATTTTCGTTTTGTGTTGTTTTTGAGTAAACATGGTACTTACCTACTTATCAAAATAGTTGAACATTTTTTGGTTGAGTGAATTTCTCAGTCATTTACATTTAAATATTTGATGTGGTACCCCGCTTCGGACAGGAAGTTGATATGAGATTATGTGGTAGTTGGAAAAAGGATACACTTATGAGAGGTAGGCGGATATTGCTTTATATACCCCCCCCAATGGGTGGCCTGATCCACACAAGAAAACTTTCAAAGGTCCACGATGTTTCAGAATATTTAACAGAATTCAAGACTGTTCTGGGATGTTTCACGATGACGTGGTACGTTCCCGAATATTCCAGAGTATTCCTCAACATTCCAGATTGTTCTAGAACTTTCAGATAAAAACAGAAAATATTTTCATGGGTGACGATATATAGCTACCTCACCTCAGGTATATAACTCCCTTGATAGTTTCGCAATGATCTGGAATGATTCGGGATTTTCCCTGATGTCATACAATGGCAAAAAAAATGTTAGCAAATATGTTTGCTGCAGTACGAAGCCGGTCGCTAGTGGAATATAAAATATCATGTATTTACAGTATAATTAATAAAGTGCTGACTACACTTATTTGAAATTTTTGAGATTGGACCAAAATTATTAAATTTGATCATTCTTTAGTGAATTAAAAAAAATTAACGAAGAGTTAGGTTCTTTCAAACAGGTGCCATGGCGGTTAATTTTCAATACTTTATCCACTTATTTCAGATGTGTAATTTTATTGTATTGATGAAAACCTGATTTTGATATGACTGATAGTATGCACGAAAGTTTCATTACGTTGGTAAATTATCCTCTGAAAAAAGTAACGCCAGCCGCCACTGGTCTTCGTCAGATGACTGTGACTTGGCCAAGGTCGCGCTCAACACTACTTGCGTTTCTCGATCATTCTAGGTGTCGCGTCTCTTCCAGAAGATTCCTATCGGCTTCCAGATACTTCCATTACGACATATAAACACTACCAACGGGCAAATGAGGCAAGTCTAGTTGAAAGTGAGGTACGAAATGCGCTGACAAGGCGAAAGACATTCGAGTATACGTCTGAAGTTCAGTTAAGATTTTTTGTTATATTGGCAGTGTGTAGTGGTGAAATAAAGTTGAGTTAAATTTGTACAGTGTAGGCAATCATTATCGAACCCTCGGGAAAAACGTAATAGTATATTAATTACCCATAAAATCAACATACCTGGAAGGACATCGCTTATGTTTGACACTACCCGTATTACTATAATCTGTGGGATGATGGATGTTTGTGTCGTACAAAAGAGGGGAATTTCCGGATGACTCCATATTGTTGGTACTTTGCTCTAATTCCAAGCCACATTCTGAGTCATCCCTGTTGCAAAAAATTAAATAAAAATGAAAATTATAGAAAGTATTGGTACAAAAAAATAGATAAAAAATCTCCATACTGAATGCTAGTTCTATATTTTCCAGTTATTAATGCATAGACATGATTATTGTTATTCTCAGAATATTTATATGGATTTGACATATACAGACAGGCACCAAAAAGTTCGAAGTGATCATACTCTGGTAGGCCTAAAAAACCTGTTAATGAAGGTTTGTGCCAGATGCTTAAATTAGATGGAAATCAAAATGTAATACAGGTGATTATCATAACGAGATGAATCCTGATAATTATAAGGAATTGGTGTTCGAACAGTTGATTCCAAATATGCCGTTAAGAAGCATTGTGGTGATTGATAATGCACTATATCATATTAAATAAGACAAAATGCCAATAACATCGACGAAAATAGCCAATATGCAATCATGTTTATTAGGAAGGAATATTCCATCTGGAGAAAACATGATAAAACCTTAATTATATGCCCTCATAAACAATTATGTGCCGAAATTCAAGCGTTATGAACTATAACAGCTCTTTCTAACAAGAAATCACAACATTGTACGATTACCGCCGTATTATCCGGATTTAATACTAAATAACGTTTAACGTTCATTTCTTTAGATTTGCTTACTGTCAGTTTTCAAGCATAGCCCACTGACTAATAAGGAAGTTTTTCTTCCTTATTCAGAGGAATCGGGCAAATTTCGGATATGCAGTTGATTAGTACCTCGTTCTAGTTGGAGTGACATTTTCTTGTTCGCTCCAACTCAGGAAGAGGAATGAAATACTCTGAAAGAATTCCGATTTTCAATTATGGAATATCATTGACTTTAGGTCGATGATGGCCACTATCTTGCACTGATGAGTGGCTAATGAGCCCGAAA